AGGCACGTGCGCACACTTCTAACGGAGTTTTATTATACCTATTTTTCCATAAATTTTGAATTTAGTTTCCTTTTCTTTCTAGATAGGTGTCGTTTCTTTGAGAATCTGGAAAAAAACCTCATTGCCGAAAAGCGCGCTTGTTTATCCGTCGTTTTTTGTAGATATTAAACCGCCCCTATCTATGAAATTTTATGGTAAATAAAACTGTCCTATGAGCCATACCAGAGTCATCGACCTGTCGGTTTTTCCAAGCAATGTGGGTATGAACAAATTCAGTAACAACGAAGTTATCGAGAAAAATTGTCGACTGATCAGACTACTATTACGTAGAATAATGTGATGATTCGACAAAGTAATCACGTATGTAAGTCAACGTTTCTTAGTGAGATAGAATAACACAGCATTGACAACATGGTCAACATTTACTGACTAGAAAACCACTGCTGATAAACCACGTTCATATAAAAACTTGTTTTTCTCAATGTGTTCTACTTTACATGTACCAGAGATTATAAAGACATAAATGTAGAGATAAATAGTTCAACAATCAAGCAAACAATTTATAAACTCAACAAAAATGAGTGAAGAATCGTCTTCAAACAAACCACAGAACCGATAATTTTATTGTCGAATTAACGCTTGCGGTGTACACTCCTCCTGACCTTAGGCTTCGGTGGCAGTATTATACCATCGTACTGAAAGTGAAAGTGATAAAGGGATAAAAGGAACAGGACAGTGCTCAGCGCTGATCATCTCTGACGGATCCAGTTGGATTCCATGTTATCAAATTATCGAAAGTGAAAAGATAATTCTGAGATGGAAGAGATAGAAAAATTACAGTAACACTACACCACCTTCTGTTGGAACCATTTCACTGACTCTTCTCGTCCAACACGATGCGTTGTTCCAACGCGACCTGGAGCTCGTCTCCTTTTGGCAACACGATGTCCAGAACGATCCAGGACTACGTAGAAGTCCATTCCGTAAATTCCGATCGATGGATCGTATTTGATACCAAGATCAATGTGCTCCTTAACTAATAAACCTACAGGAGAAAATGCAAGAATAACAAAAATTTGCCAAATATTTACAGTGTTAACAAAAAAAAAAAAAGCCGAAACGAAGGTCTAGGTAAGATTATTAGAACAACGTTTATCGTGAGAATCGGACCACTCAAAGAGTTGCAGAAAACTCCAAAAGAAGTGAATTTGCCCAAAAAGATGTTATAGAATTAACCAACCTGAATACCAAAACCGAAATTTCCAGAATCAGAAAAATTCTCCTTGAAAAGTTCGAACTCCTTGACCTTTAGTCCCTTCTCAAGAATCTCTTCCGCCTTAGGGCCACGAACTGTACAGTGTACAGCGATTTTCTCATTCCTTCGTATTCCAAACGACCTCACGGTATACCTCGCCTTTGAGAACACGGGTGTTTGACCGGTAAGCTGCTCTAATACCTCAAATACACGACGTCAATATAAAGTGAAATCAAGGTACTATACTTCAAGTTCTTTTCTAATACCTGGAAACCAATAAAAAAAACAACCCGTTTCGCTAAACGAAAGATTTTCATAAATGTTAGTGATCATCCCAAAACTCAAATCTCTAGCTACTGCGCTACCCGTTCCTTTTTTGAAAAGACCCTTCTATACCGCTGTGATATTCAAAATTAAATCGTGCTTTACATCTACCTCTTCTTTTATCTTCATTTTTACATCGGTGGAAGCACGAAAAGAATATAGACGTACAGAGAAATTCTCTTGCTATCGTAGTCCTACGTTTTATGTGGAGTTTCTCTCGAAGTGGAGAAAAAATTCCTAATTAAACAGCAAAAAATGCACGCCACATGCGCAACGCATCAGCGCAATCGATTGATCGCAGTATTGAAATCACTAGCAGCCCCACTGCTTCCCTCCCTTAGCCCACATATTAGCCGCAAAGCAAATGCGCGCGTATGTGAACTCAGTCTTATTTACACTGCTACACCGCAGTGAAAAGGTCTTTCCAAAAAGTAATCACAGCGCTGGAATCGTGGAAACTTACGCTGTCAATGGTCACCCATAACTTTAGGGAACACTTCTGTTCTGGGAGGAATATACGTTTGCGAAACATGCTTTCTTCTTAGGGTATTCCAAAGAAAAAAAAGAAAGACGTAACGCAGTAGCCAGAGATTCGAGCTCTCTAATGATTATCAAAAAAGCAATGGAAAGTCGTTAGGCGCAATGGAGTCGCTTCACTTGTTCTCGGATTACGGAAAAGAACCACTTGTATTTGTTAAGTTTACCTTTGCAGCTCGTGTAAGTCGATCTCCAGACTCCCCAACGCAGATGTTTAAGCATAGTTTTTCAATCTTTAACTCTCTCATTATATTCCTGGCCTTCTTTTCGCGAATCTCCGCGATCTTTTCAAGGTCACCCATGTCTAAAAAAACAGTAGTCATGAAGTACTCATAAAAATTCTTCAAGAAGCGAAACACAGATAAGTCGTACTGGCAGTCACGAGACAGATCATTTGTGAACTCAAAAATCAAACAAGATAGTCAATAACATGGGAAGAGCAAAACACAGTTAAGTCCGTTCACAGCTGCTACAGTTGTTAAGTAAACTGGACAGAGCCTCCAGACCCTCGTCTCAAACAAAATGTCCTTTTGAACTAAAGAAATGCTCCACGAAAGTCAAAGATATAGCACGAGATATTATTGCACATATATGCATAAAGCTCATAAATAATGAAACCCTCAGAGTGCATCAATGCCGAGGGAGTGCCGTGCATTGGACTCCATTCGTAGAGCCACAGAGGTGATGGATTACATATCTGGCCTTTAGAATGAGCGGCGATAGCCTACCTATGAATCAAGTCAAAGCTGATATCCCGACAGCCAAACTTGAAACCATTCAACAATCCCCTGTAACCGAAGATTTGCTGAGCCATGAGCGTAGGATTGAACCACGGATTCATCGAGAACGGGTGCCGCAGAGCATCTCACTGCGCCACACGTGGATTTATTTAAATACTACAAAAAAACCAAAGTAAAAAAAACAGCTCTATTGCAGACGAGTAGACTTTCAGAAGGAAATCTAGGAGGAAGTGGAATCGTCGAAATTGTAGGATTCCGCAAAATTCCGACAAATATCGCACAATGATTACGGTAACATTTACACGATAAACTGCACATCTACAAGTGGCATTAGAGCATGTTTTCTCACAGTCTACTCTTTCGTTAATAATGTACCAGTATTTAAATTAGTAACCATATCGCTTCTTTGGAAGAATGAATGCTGTCAGAAGATAGAGTTGGCAAAGTAGATTGTAAAGAAAAAACAAAAAAGAGTAGTAGAATTGCTTATTCAACGGCGGCGAGTGTTTTAAAATTGCTTTATAACGTCTTTGATGCAGTCTCCGGGTCAGTGAAATACAACCTTAAATCCTGGGATCAGATTTTCCACGTCTTTTCTGTCATATTTACAATTTATTCTCTCTTCACCTTCGTATCGTCCTCTCAGCTTCTCCTGTTATTGTATTAATTTCTATGACTCCTCTCGGGTGCTAAATGCTGTTGTTGGATATACGCCTAAGAGAATTGAGTGGGTGAGCAAAAAACGGGCTCAGGCGGGAATTGAACCCGTGTTTCATCCATACTGGGGACGCGTACTACTACCACTACACCACCGAGGCACATTTGCACTTTTCATCCATGCAGGGGAAGTGTGCTTTTCCACTGCAGTGCAAATGCCATTTGTAAGCTTCAGCGTCTGCGAGACCCGCTTAATCGCCGGCTACTTGATCGGCGTCTGCGGGACCCGCTTAGGCGCCATTTACCACGTCTTGCTGAGATCAGAAGCTCTTATTTATTTGATTTTGAAAAGGAAGAGATTATATTCCTTACATAAATAAATAAAAAGCTCTCGGCGTTGATCAATCCCTGAGGGATGCGCCATGCATTCGACTTCAATTTTTAACTTCGTTTGAGGTGATTGAATGCATATCTGGCCTTTACAATGACTCGCGGTGGCCTCCCACTGAACCGAGTCAGTGCTGCTTATCCTCCCAGACAAGTCTGAGACCTGTCTGGTACCATTTTACCGACTCTGGAGGGATGGATGGCTTGGTAAGCCATGAGCGCGAGATCGAACCATTGACCTCGTGTGCGACGCAGAGCACCTCTAACCATTGCGCCACATGCGCTCGTATTCCTTACATGTATGTGTAGAATTTTGAAGCACAACCCTTGGGGGCACACGGTACGGCAGAGAACTCGGTAGCAACAATGAAATTTCGCTAAGCGCAGCAAGCGAAGATAACAAGGAATCCGCATTCTTATGACCCACAGTGACACTTAGCATGCTTTAATACTGCTGAAAATTGATCTCAAAGAATGCCCGCCTGAGAACTCTTTTCAATCTACACAGTGACAGTCATGATGAACCGGACAGCATTTTAAATTTCGGGTAAAACTCACTTGATGGCGAACGACCTCTGTATCGGCGTGATCGCGGACTGCGCCATCGACGGGAGCGTCGACTCAGTGATCGGATGTAACTTCTGCGGGTTCGGCTCCTTCGACTCCTTCTTTTTGGACTTCTAGACCGGCTTCCTCCACTTCCACTTCTAGGGCGGCTTCTCCTGTTGGTTATGTTAGCAAATGAACTAAATAACATACTCTACACTCCTTTTATAGCTCACCATCGCATCGTAGACACCCTATCATGGTGATAAAGTCTGATAATGTTATCTTTACGTGCTTCATTCACTTGAGAAATATCATGTTTTCAATGGAAGTTTTATCAACGTCGACGTGGGAACAACATCGAATTCACGAATAAACATGAATTTTTTTCTCTGAACACCTTTGAAAAAAAAGCTGAGGGCCCACGAGGGTAATTCTTTGAATGCGACCACTCATCCATTATAAAGCGAAATCGCATACCCGACAGAACCTGTTAAAGGTTAATGGCTGACAGCTAACTATGGATGTTGAAAAATGAGTGGTGGCGCAGATGTGCCTCGGTGGTGTAGTGGTAGGGCACGCGTCCTCGGTATGGATGAAACGCGGGTTCGATTTCCAGCTGAGGCCATGTTTTTGCTCACCGCTCAGTTCTCTTAGGTGTATATGAAACAGCATAAGATTGCGAGAAATGCACAAAAAATACTAAGAATTTCGAGTTTTAGCTATTGTTGGAAATTATCCAAGTTCTCAGCAAACGAACACTGCGCATATGAATTGAAACTCTTTGGGAATTCAAGGTCTCCATAGTGTCGTAACTGGTTATCCGCAAGTTAAGATGTTTGATTGTGGACTTATAGGGGCTTTACGCAATCTGTTCTTTGGGCGAGACCTGTTTTGACCCCTGCGCATAGATTGGATTCCGTAGATTTTCTTAAATCGTATATTTTACAATCTCTGAATACTGTTGGATCGGAATTACGTCCAGTCATAGTTTTTCGTTGTTCTTTTTTGTTCATTTACGACAGATTTAATTCCCGATCATTTTTATCGTGATTGATATCATTCAAACCACGTGATCTCTGGACTCTAAATGTGTAGGCCGTTTTGTTTTTTGTAACTGTACAATACTTCTGTAATGAGTACAGGTGCTTTGTCATATCATTAGCTTTGACAAGGCGTTTTCTGGCCAAGGAATGTTCCGGAGCTCTGGATAGATGTTATTCACTTGTAGCAGCATCTAGGGTATATGGCAAATGAATTTTACGTTCTCACCGTTATTCTTCAATCTTTTGCACTGTCATAGACGTAGCATGTGAATGAACCGTGGGTACTTACCCGCTGTGAGGCGACAAATGAAAAACCGATCTCATTCACTGAGCAGCAAACTTTCATAAGAATGTTAGTGATCATTTGAAAGCTTAGATTTCTGGCTACACCTCGACATGAGCGGTTTTCGGAAAAGTCTTTTTTGCCGTTGTTACAGAACGAAATTCGTTGCGTTCCAAACGCGCTTATGTCTCGCCGGGCGGAACTCTTTCTTTGGTTTATTAGTAATCATTCGATAGCGTAATGGTTGCTAGTTGCAACACTGTGCATATTTTCTGGAGAGACCGTTTCTCTGCAATGCAACAGTGAAAACAAGTTGAATTCACATGCACGATTAAGAGGGTCTTTGGCCAATTCACGTGCCGGTGGGTGAGGCAGCCACGTGAACTGCTGCTGCGACACTTTTCTACACGCTCATATGCTCGAAAATCGATGTTTGGTCGCGTCAGCGCATACGACGCCTTTGCTAGCGGCACGTGAATCGGCCAAAGACCCCTTTACTTCGTAAATTGGTTCAAATTATCTTTCCTGATGCATGACAGAGAATTGGTCTTTCCACAAAGTGAGTACAGCGTTGGAATGAGCTGCCATCACGCTATTGAATGATTACTAATAGTCCAAAGGAAGAGCTCTGTCCGGCGAGAAATATGCGCGTCTGAGACGTAGTTTTGTGTGGAGATTACAGCGTTATAAAAGGGTCTTTTTAAAAACCGGCGTCATGGTGCCGTAGCCAGAAATCTAAGCTTTCGAAGGTAATTGACACCTTTAAGAAAATCTCCTGTCCAGCGAATGCGATCGGTTTTTCATTTGCTGCTTCATAATGGACAAGAACCGAACCTTGACTAGACTCCGCTTCGATAAAGCTGTCGTCCCCGATTCTGATGTGTGTATTGCCTTCACGGAGCTTTCAATGATCTTTGTGTAGTTCGTAAATCAACAGCCCTGTGCTCAAAAGCTCTACATGAGTTTTGTGTCGTGTCGGTGGCAGAACATCCCGACTGGAACTCCTCCACGAGACGTTCACGTAGCTTAAGTTTTGAAGTATTCATTCTAAAGAAAGAAAATTTTGGCAGTTCGAAGAAACAAAATAATTTGCATGTTTAGATCTCGAGATCACCAGCTTCCGAATGAAGTTAAACATGATGAAATTGGTCAAGAAGTATTACTATGCAAATTTTTGTACTATGTATTCCATCTTTGTAATGTTTATAAATTCTCTTTATCTATTACATACTGTAACCCGACCCATCATCGTAATTCGTTGTACGGATCCTAGTATCTATCTTGTATCTCTTGCGATCTCTAAGGCATCCGACCTAGAATGTTTCCTAAGGTGTACGTCGACTGATTGCAAGAGAGGTTGGAGCAGGGATTGAACTAGGGCCTTGCTTATCACGTTGTTTCCAGTTACAGTGTACCGTCAACCGCTTCGCAATCATACCTCCTCTTTGTAATATTTAGTATAATATATAGTCAATCTCACCTCACTCATTGTTATTATTATCTTCATTTTCCCGTTTTTTCGTCTTTATCTTTCACTTGTGATTTACACTGATTTGATGTGCAAAAGCTTCAACCCTCAGCTGGAAATTGAACCTGTGTCACACCCTGTCCGGATGCGCATGCTAACCACTGCGCTTCCACGGCTTCTATTCTGCTGTCACTCATTCTTAGTATCTATGCTCCAGGATTAGTACTTTAACTTTAGTAAGGATTTTAGTCCATCAACTCAATTTCAGAAGGAAATGCCTCGTGTCCCGTGTGCGATATTGCGCCAAACCCTCACCACTGTCAGTCGAAAGGTAAGAGTACAGTCGAGAAACTTTCGAGAATCAGCCCTAGTTTTTCTAGAATCAAACGTTCAAAGTAGTCGAAGTTGGTGCACGAGATGGTCTTCAAAATGAAAAAGTGGGTGAGAGTCTTTTCGTTGTTAATATGACAATCATTCTCTTTTTTTCCTTTTGGTTCACCGATTGATTATATCTTTGTAAATTTCTAGCAGATTATTTCTACTGAGGATAAGATAGCTCTCATTAACAGACTGAGTCAATGTGGTTTCCAAGTAAGATCTTTTTCACCCTTTTTTCTGTCTGGTATAGTTCTCTGGAAATAGAGACCATTTCCTTCCAAATGTCAGAGTATCGAAGCAACAAGTTTCGTCTCACCAAAGTGGATCCCACAAATGGCCGATCATCAGGAAGTTATACAGAAAATTACAAAGTATCCAGGTGTGTCGTATCCTGTTCTTGTTCCAAATCGTGCCGGATTGGACAATGTGGTAGGTTAGTTCTCAAGCGTTTGGCTGCATAGACGTCTCATATAATTCACTATTTCAGCTAAAAAATGGTAACGTCAAGGAGATCGCTGTATTTGGTGCTGCTTCCGAATCATTTTCTAAGTTTGTTGACGATTCTGTTGTAGTAAACTATTTGTTTTTGTTCAAATTCTAGCACTGCTTAGGAAAAATGTTAATGCTGGTCTAGACGAAAGTCTGCGAAAACTTCAGGAAGTTACGAAAGTCGCAGTCAAAGAGGGATTACGAGTAAGAGGGTGCGTTTCAGTATTTTGGAGTAATCCTATTTTAATGTAATTGGTAATTTTCCGTCATCTCTAGTTAATTGCAACTGTTGAGAACAAAGCCTTTTCACTTTTACCTTAGGTCTTTGGAAACAACTCGATAGCTTAAATATTGGCAATTTCTTTACTCTGTTTTCCTCCTGCAAAGGTCTTTTCGATGTGCTGTGGCAGCGAAAGTCAAATTCAGTTTTACACTCGCCTCGCAACACCGTGCGAATTTTTGTTATTTATTTCAAAATCTTCTTTACTTTTTACAGGAATACCTTGGCTTTTGTTTTAGAACCGTGGAAGAGACTTCGTTCTGCGTTCTATGAGCTTGGCTTTTAGTTTGATTTTATGTTGCTAACACCAGAAGCTGAGAGCCTAAGCCAGGGAGTGCGATCTTTTTTTGGCTCTTCGAAGACCTTTTTAAGAACCAAACTTAGCTTTGAAATCACCCAAATTCACGCTATTAGATATTTACTAGGAGTTTCTCAAAAATAGACTCCTCAGTGTCGCCTTCTGCGAATCTTGCGAAATCCCATTTACATATGCTAACCGCGTAAAACTGCGCGCCGAGTAGGAAATTTAATTTTATCTTCGCTGCTACAACGCACAAAGAAGACTTTCTCAGAAATCTAAAACAGTGTTAAAGTCACCGAGACTTAAGCTATCCAGTTGCCACCAAAAGTCTTGAGAAATTGGAAAGACATTGTTACCAGGTGTTATAAAATTGACCAGACAAAGGGAATCGTATCGAGGTTTTTTATTCCAGATATGTATCGTGTGTGGTCGGTTGTCCATATGAAGGAAAAATTGATAGTGCTGTGGTAGCCAGAGTAACTGGTACTTTACTTGATTCTGGTTGTTATGAAGGTAAAAATACATTTGAATTTTTATATTAATTCTACTAATACTCGAGCCACTTCTTCAAAACTGTCACTGATTTTTGTGAAGGCTCTAATTTTGGGAAAACACCTCGTTTTTAGACCTTCCTTCTGTCTGTTTCTGATTTCATTAGCGTAGTTAAACGTCAATGCTTTATTTCTTCTGATACGACGAGATTGTCCTTAATGAATTTCCTCGTTTTTCTTCTTTCCTTTGAGAGCAATTATCGTTGTCTTTTAGTTTCTTTGGGTGATACCATTGGTGTTGGAAGTGCCGGATCGGTGGGTTCCATGCTTGACACAGTCCTAAAGTCTGTTCCTGTTTCAAAGTTAGCTGTTCATTTCCATGATACATATGGTCAAGCACTGGCGAATATCATTGTTGCAATTGAGGTGAATGGCTTAACCTAATAACTGCATTTTTTTGTTACTATCTCTTTAGCAAGACCTAATTCTCTAGCCTTTGGCAAGGCGTTTTGCGCTTTTTCCTTGGACTTTAAGTGATCGTTTGCTATCATGGGAAGCAGCGAATTCGATAACGTGTTTGGCTTTCAAACAGGCCTTCTTATTGTGCTATAGCAGCGAAGTTGATGTCACGTTTCAGTCTTGGCTCGCTTTTCTACTTGACTAGGATTTTTCGATGATCTTTTAACGGACTTTTAGTCATTATTTGTAAGCTAGATTTTGTCAATTCTGATGCTAAGTTTGGTTTTTTCAAAAGGTCTTCATGAGCGCAGGAATATCGAAAAGAGAATTAGATTCCGCACTCATAGTAGTTATTGTATATACTTCAAAGCGAGTTTGTTTGACGGAATGGACGAAATAAGAAGCCAATACCCATACATTCATAGTAAATGG